TTTAGAATTTTCTCCGCTTTATGTAAAATGCACGCGCCTGCTTTATACAACTGACAAAAGAGCCGAGAAGTGCGATGCTAACCGAATCAAAATTTATCCCAAAGGTAGCTATGTATGAAGAAAAACTTTCCATAGATAAAAATACAGTATTTTTTTTATTTTTTAATATTTTTCAACAGATTAATGACATATAGTCATTTAGCTATATCTTACTACAGAAATATAGATAAATAACGGAATTTTAAAATTTATGTCGTTTTCCTATTTTACATGGAATGCCCCAAATGGAGTTTATTGAGATTTTGTTATTAAATTGTTTGTTTATTTTATTTATATTATTTTTGCTTGCAGTTGCTGATTTCTATTTAATGCTGCATGTTAAAATTTATAAATAACTACATTAATAAAGCTCAAAACAATGATACAACTTATTTCAGTTTTACCTAATTTTGTACTTGTCCCACCAGTCACAACTTTCAATATTCTTTAATATGTCTATGATGGTTATATCGGCCTAGTTTTTAATGAAGACGAAAGAGTATAGTATATATTTGACAACGTAGAAAAATCTGCCTTAAAAAACTAAGTAGTTTGGCTAAAATTGGTCTTTGAGTGTACAAAGGTAAAACAGAAGGATTTTTCAGGGTCCCACCAGTCACATTCATTCTAAAAATAGTTACAAAGAACTCAGAAATTAGTTGGAATTTTTTTTTAAGGAATTTTATACACTGGTTACTTATCTATGTTAAAAAATATATTTCACTATTGTATAAGTTCCGACGACATAGTTATAATTAAGAGTTGATCATATTCTGGAGTCAACCTACTGAATGGTAGCAGCGCTGAAAGTAGTGAAGAAGACGAACCCGAGCCCCCAGTCGAGGTTGATGGAGTAGCTGTCCCAACGCCTGACTATGACGAGGTACGAATAGCGATTACGCGGCTGAAACACAACAAAGCTGCTGGAGCTGACGGCCTGCCAGCCGAGCTATTCAAGTACGGCGGCGAGGAGCTGATGAGGTGCATGCATCAGCTCGTATGCAGAATATGGTCAGATGAACGCATGCCCGACGACTGGAATTTAAGTGTGCTCTGCCCAATCCACAAGAAAGGCGACCCCGCCATACGCGCCAACTACCGCGGAATCAGCCTTCTAAGCATAGGTTATAAGGCCTTATCGAGCGTATTGTACGAAAGACTGAAGCCCACCGTCAACGAGTTGATTGGA